CTCATTCATAAAATTTCCACCAACGTCTAGAGCGTAAAAAAATCTGCATGTCTTATAAGCCCATTACTTCCCCAGGATGGTGCGAGAGGCCATTGAAATTAAAGAACTCCCTAACTTCTCCAATATAATCAACGATATTTGCGATTTAAAGCTCCGAATGACACTGCAACTGTCGTGAACAGGCGTGTCGCTTGCCATCAGGTGCACGACTTGTTCGTCCCGTCACTTGACATTACAAAACTACACTACAAATTAAATTATCTTACACTGATTTTAGGACAATATGTATTATAGAAGTGTGCGGAAGGTTGGTTAGTTTATTACTAGATTCTCTCTTCAATCTATAATCTAATCTCTCATAATTAGATCTCATCAATTATTCGCGTTTAAAAACGTAATCTTGAAACATATTTGAGTTCCGAAAATAATGATTGTGTTCTAAGTATGACGATTTTTTGCTGTCGTCGTCAGCGTACAAGGTAAACCATTGCGGTAACTAACAAGTAAGCAGAAAAAAAAACAAAAACACATGTCCGACAAAGCAGAGTTTATCACACTCGCTATTTGGCTGCATGATTTATACTGATGGGACTCGTTTTACTAGGCCTTCTTGCCTTTACTAAACTGTAATTCTATGACCACCTTTTTCTTTTTCAACCCCCGACGCAAAAAGAGGAGTCATTTGCAGGTTTCACCTTACCTATTTGTATATCTTTTTTGTTATACGAAAAATGGTGCGCATTTGACCTCCATCTTAACTGATCGAAAAATGTGCACACCTAAATAATGCCTATCCACTCTAGCCTTGAAAAGGTCCAAGTTGTAGCGTTCAGGGAATAAATCCGCAGTATATATGTGGAAGCGAAACGCATGATGCGAATCCTGGGTATATCCACAACATAGGGTTAGGGGTTCCACCCCACCTTACTCTAGTCTAGTCCCCAGATGATGGAAAGGAGAAGGCGGAATTAACTCATGCTATTCCATCGCACACTCTCCGTGATATTATTTACTGTATGTCTGTCTGTGGCGTCGTAAACCCAAATGGAAGGACTGATCTCAAAGCGGTTTCCTTTATTTGAAGACAAATTTATTCGAGATGGTTCTCAACTTTGTTTGATAAACATCTGTACGGCTGTTTCAAAATAATCAGCTCTTTTCCCAGTTGGTGTAAAGATCTCTGTCTGAAAACTTGTCCATCGGCTTGAATAAAGTTCAAAATTTTATTTCAAGTAACCGTGATATCAATTTCGTGTATGTATAAAATGAATTTACAAAATGTAATAACAGAGAATTTGTTTTTGTACATTTCTTGTTCTTGAGGTTGCTTCTGTCCATTGTTGGGGATTGTTAAAACAACTTTGGTTCATGACATCGAATTTATGTTTACAATCCATTACGTCCTTTTGCTGTGGTAGCCTAGTTTGACGTACTGTCTCGTAAGCAGGGGCTGTGGGTTTGAATCCGGTCTCGCACCTCTGAGTTTATCGGAGTATATGTGCGAAGAAAAGTTCGGTGAAGGAAATCATCGCGATACCGTGTGAAGTACCCAGCCCACATTGGTCCAGCATGGCGGGCTATGGCCTAAACACTATCCTGAGAGGAGATCCCTGCCCAGCAATGGGACGTATAAACAAGTTGATGATAATGATGTCCTTTTGCTACCGATAAGGGTTCACCGACGCGTTGCTCTTTGAAGTTTAATTCAATGCCGACTGCACATAGTTATATACGAGCAGCCCGTGGTTCAGTCATACTAAAAGATCGCTTAGTGCCCTCCGGGTCCAGTATAGTAATGGGTTTAGAATGTTGATGGGGTTGCCTCGTTTCTGCAGTGCATCTACCATGCTTGCAGAGGCGTGGGTGGGCTTCTATGCCATCATCCGCAAAAAAAACAGCCCCACTGCTGAGCAGACTGCGAAGCAGCACCAACAGCATTCTGCAGGTCATACCAGACCACTAAGACCTGCTTATAATGAAATCTTTCTTTCGGGTCCTGCACAAATAGTTTCATGGGAGTCTATTTGGTCGAGGTGCGAGTGAAAGATAATTTGACTTCCATTGCTGGTCACTAAAATAGTTTTTTAAGTTAGTTTGTAAGATAACACTATTGGACCATACCATGTTGTTGTCTGAAAAATAATTATATACTTCCGGACACAAAATTCGAGCCACCTCGCGTTTTTGCCTTA